CTGTGTAGATCAGGAGGGTTTCAAACTCACAGAGATCTGCCTGCTTCCTATCTCTTGAGTGCTGTGATCAGAAGCCTGTGTGCTTCCTTCCTCTTTTTTTCTTCTTTCTTTTTTTTTTCTTTCTTTTTTTCAAAAAGAGCTAGAGAACAGAGTGGTCAAGGGCAAAAAAGGGTCAGTCTGTGGATATATAGGCGAGGGTTTATATATGTTCTCTGCATACCTGTTTGTTTTGTGTGTCTCCTTGGGTGTTTAATATGTGCTAGTGTGTGCAGGGTGCTGGCCCAAAGGCCTTCCATACTATTTCCCAGCATGAACATTTCTATGATTCCACATTTCATGTCATAAGAACAAGACTCCTAAGGACACTGGAACAAAAGGATCAGGTTATGCGGCATAGAACAGGAAAGAAGCCAACAACCATTTATGTTCATCACCTGCATTCAGATAACATGGCTATATATATGTAGAAAAATCTACAAACTTTTGTAATTAGAAATTTATATATTGAGTTTAGTAAGTGCAGAAAAATTAACCAAGTTTATATAGAGAACAGAAAAATAATAATTACTAATAATGCATTACTTTTAAAAACCTCTTTGTTAATTATGCTATGATCCCCTAGGCTAAAACATTCAAAATATACCAATAAAAATTATTTTATATTGTTATATTATGCTTTTATATTTATTGGTATATCCACAATATATCAATAAAATTTTAAAACTTAGAATCCTGGTTAAATGAAGAGATAAACTATCAATTGGAGACTTAATAGTAAATTGTTAAATCCATCTAAGTTGACTGACAAGGTTAATGTCATAATAATGAAAACTTCGGATTTTTATGGAAATTGAACAGATATCTCTAAAAGTCATTTTGATATCATGTAGATTTAAAAAACTGAAAGACTCATATATGCAGGTACTATTATTTTCCTCGAGCATGGACAGAGCAACAGCAAACATAGAAAACCCAAAGCCAAGTCTGCACATATTCACCACATTTACGAAAATGTGCCACTTTAATTTTGATGCGGAAAAACGGTTTTTCCAATGAACAGTGTTTTACCACGTTCATGTGTATTAGGAATAGGCAGAAAGCTTAACAGTAACTCTTGAGAAAGAAACACAGGAAGTTTCTCTTTTCTCTCTTTTTTTTTTTTTTATTAATTTGTGTTTTATATTCCAATCCCGGTTCCCCTCCATTCTTTTCTCCCACTCCCTCCACTCCCCCCCCCTTCCCATCTGCTCCAGGGGGAGGGTAAGGCCTCACCTAGGAAGTCTACTAAGTCTGTCCCATCATCTAGTTGAGGCAGGATCAAGGCACCTCTTCACCCCCACACCCCAGTGTCTAGGCTGAGCAAGGTATCCCTCCATATAGAATGGGCTCCACTAAGTCAGTTTGTGCATTAGTGTTAGGTCTTGGACCCACTGCCAGTGGCCTTGTGTATTGTCCCGATCACACCATTGTCGCCTATGTTAAGGGAGTCTAGTTTGGTCTTATGCAGGTTCCTCATTTGTCAGACCTTAGTCTGTGATCCCTCACTAGCTCAGGTCAGCTGATTCTGTGGGTTTTCCCATCATGGTCTTAGCTCCTTTGTTCATATTATCGCTCCTTCCTCACTTCAACTGTACTCCAGGAACTTGGCCCATTGATGAGTTGTGGATTTCTGCATCTGTTTCTGGAAGAGGGTTCAAGCTTCCCTGGGGTTGTGGATTGTAGGCTGGGTATCTTTTGCTTTATTTCTGTTATCCACTTATGAGTGAGTATATACTATATTTGTCTTTCTGGTTTTGAGTTACCTCACTTAGGATGGTTTTAATAAACACGGAAAGTTTCTTAACTTTCACAAAGAATTAACCTTAAAAGAAAATGTTAATGGTGGTTTCTCAGAAAATTGGAAAGCCATCTGCCTCAAGACATAGCTATACCACTCTTGGGCATACACCTAAAGGATATTCAATCATACCACAAAGATGCTTGGCTCAACTATATTCATAGCAGTATTATTCATAATAGCCAGAACTTGAATACAACCCTGATGTCCCTCAATAGAAGAATGATAAAAAAATGCAGTACATTTACACAATGAAGTATTACTCAGCTGTTAAAAACAATGACATCATGAAATTTGTTGGCAAGTGGAAGAAACTAGAAAAGATCATCCTGAGAGAAACAACCCAGATCCAGAAAGACAAACATGGTATGTATTCACTCATAAGTGGATATTAGCTGTAAAATAAAAAGTAACTATGCTACAATCCAGAGTCCCAGAAAGTTAAGGTAACAAGGAGGGCCCAAAGAGGGACACATGGATTTTCATGGGTAGGAGAAATAAAAGACATTTCCTGGATAAAAGGGGTGGGTGTGTATGGGAACATGAGGGATAGTGTTGGGCATGGGATAGTGGGGGAAGAACAATGAAAGGGATGTCTTGATGGGGGGCATTTCAGGGTCAGGTAGAAATCTGGTGCAAGGGAAACTCCCATGAATCTACAAGGATGACCCCAGCTAAGACTCCTAACAACAGTGGATGCATAACCTGAACTGGCATCTCCAGTGATCAGATTGGTGACTACCCTAATTGTCATCAGAGCCTTTATCCAGTAACTGATGGAAGCAGATGCAGAGATCTACAGCCAATCAATGGGCCAAACTCCAGGAATCCTGTTGAAGAGAGGGAGGAAGAATTCTAAGATGTCATCATCAGTGAACCCAAAGAGACAACTAACCTGGACTCAGGAGGTCATAGACACACACTGACAGCTAAGGAGCCCGCATGGAACTGACATAGGCCCTCTACATATATGTGACAATTATATAGTGTGGCCTACTTGTGGGACTCCTAACAGAGGAAGCATGGCCTGTCCCTGATGCTTTAGCAGGCTTTTGAGAACATATTTCTCGTACTGAGTTGCCTTACCAAGCCTTAATACAAGGGGAGGAGCTTAGTCCTACCTCAGCTTGATATGCCATGTTTTCTTGACATCCATGAGAGGCCTTCCCCTTTCTGAACAGAAACAGAGGAGTGAATTGTGGGGCACAGAGGGGAGATGGGAGGAGGGAATGGGAAGAGAGAAGGGAGGGAAACTGTGGTTGGGATGTAAACTAAATGAATAAATTTAATTAATAAAAAATAATAAATGAGACTTCTTTAAAAAATTAGGGTAAGAAGGAGAATATGGGAGAGCAGAAATTGTGTAATTATAATCTCAAAGGTAAAAGAAAATATTATGTTCTTGGTGCTGGGGAGATGGCTCAGTAGTTAAGAATACCAAGTACTCTTCCAGGGGGCCAGAGTCCATGGCAGCTCAGGAGCATCAGTAACTCCAGTTCCAGGGGACCCTTTAACTTCTTCTGGCCTCAACTATCACGTGGTAGTCATGAGGTGTACATAAAATATATATGCAGCCAAAACACCCAGACACAAACATAAAAATTATATTATAAGCTTTTATATTCATCAAAAGCCAATAACGGAAAAAGTAAAACCCTGCAAAAGTGCCTATGATATACATAAACAGAAGAGATTTATATTCTGATTGTAAAAAAAAAAACCTATAATTCAATATGAGAAGTGCAGATTGATTATAACAAATACAAAAGCTTTGAACAGATCACCAAAAAAAGTGTGCGCTTGCAATTACCATGAGGAATGTTTCCATCACTGGGGAAATAGAATAAAAACACAACAAACATCCACGTACACCTACGAAAATGGCCAAAATCAAAAGAACTGAAATACAACCTCTTCCCTAAGATGTAGAATGTGTACAACTGACATACATTGTTGATGGAAGTGTGGTTCCTTTCAATTGAGTCTAGATGCCTCCTTCCCTTACTGCCAACAACCAACCACCAAGTTAGTGCACATATCTACCAAAAGAAGGTTCATGAGGGCTTCTTCTTTCTTTATTATTTTTAACTATGTGTATACGTGTGGATATGTATGTACACATGAGTGACATGCCCATAGCATTTGGATGAGGATGTCAGACCCTCTGTAGCTGGAGGCTCTGATAGCTGTAGCTGTCTAAGAGCAGTGCTGGGAACTTAACTTAGGTCTTCTGCCAGAGCAATGCCTGCTCTTAACAGTGGAGGCAACTCCCCAGCCCCAAGAGACTTTTTTCTTAATGACCAAAAATTAAAAACCATTCAATTGTGTCTATTAACAATACAAGGTAAAGTATGATGTTTTAATACAAGGGAGTTCTTTGCAGCAATGAGAGGAACAAACTGCTGTTGTCTGTAACAACACAAAGGAATACCATATGCTTAATTATGAATAAAGTAAACATAAGAGTACACACAGTATGATTCTGTCTATATGAGTTGTATAAGCATAAATTTAATTTGCTACGATACAGAACAAAATCATACTTACTTTTGGGAACAATATCTAGGAGAAGTATTAAGGGGTTTCTAGGATCAAAGAAGTGTCCATGCCTATACCTACAGGATGTTATTAGGTAAGTAGATGATAGATAGATAGATAGATAGATAGATAGATAGATAGATAGATAGATAGATAGATATAGATAGATATTGATGGAAGGGATAGATGGATGGATGGATGGATGGATGGATGGATGGATGGATGGATGGATATGTGTGTGCATGAGAGAGAGAGAGAATTCATTTATCTGTTCACTTGAGACTATAGTTTAATGCCCCATTAGGAAGGAAATAACTCTCTGAAATAAAGCTTTAAGTAGACCCTTTAATACCTGAGACAGGGCTGAGGAAATATGGAATTGGATAGGGTGGTGTCCCTATGCTGGAAGCCTTCTACCCAAAGAGAAAAAAGGACTCAGCCCTGTTTGTCATTAATGAAAAGGCCAAATTCATTTTATTTTTACACCTTCACAAGAAAACACTATCCCAAAAAGAGTGTCAGATTTTAATTGGGCAGCTAATGTTTAATTGTTTGCATTGTTACATAGTTTATATTTCAGAACAAATTGTGGACTTCAGGCCACAAACATTCTCAGTCAGAGAATTCAGACTGCCAAAAAGGAATCATGGCAATGAACATCATCGTTCCACCTGCCATTTAATAAGAGCACCACACAGCCCTCCTCATTGTTAGTGTCGTTGGGCTCACCCGCATTCCAGTTAGTGTACTGCACTCTGTTTCCTGCCAAATCCAAAAAGCGATTTTGAGTTTTGTTATCTATTATGCCCAAGTAGGCGATGTCTTTAGCCACCTTCTGAAGGGCCCTGTTTTCCTCAGGATTCCGGGGAGTGGCCACAGAGGCATGGAATTGGGAGCACTTGACTGCATTAAAACTCAACGTTTTACCAGTATTCACAAAGTACTTCTTCCCAACTTGTTCACTCGTAGAGAACAGCACCCCTAAAATGTAAAATGTTAGGAGACACCAGCTTATCTTCTAGACCACTCACCGTGTAAACTGCAGTGTAGGCTGCTGTTTCTAGTGGTGTATTCCACAATGAGTCTCTGTTCATGAGACCCCTGTGGACTGCTTACACAAATCAAAAACATACTTCTTTTACCTAAAATTCGAGTTGAAACTGTTATCTTGCTTCTTTTCCTTGCAATCTTAATATGAATAAAGAAGTACAAAGCCTTTGTTTGTGTTAGATCTACATTGCAGAGCACACATAATCTGGAATCCTGAATTCTACCATGCTGTTGCAATCAATCAAAAAAAAAAAAAAAAAAAAAAAAACATGATCTGCTCCATTGTCCATTGCCTGACCTAGATCCAGGATTACGAAGTGGCCCACATCCCATTTTGGGTTAGCAAAAACCTTTTCAGGTCCTAGAAAGTCGTGTGTGTGCAGTGAATGTTCTCTGCCTTCTAGCACTCCCAAACTTTAAGTTGCCCAAACAAGAGGGGAAGGATACTTAACACTTCTTAAAGCCTCTCAGTTCTGACTGCAGGCCTGCGATTTCTGCATTAATTTTTCTAAACTCACATTCTAGAAAATGAAACAATGAAAAGTACTAATAGGATGAGGATGCAAACTGTGCATGCTAAAAAGTATGGTATCTTTTTCAGACAAGAAGCAAAAGAAGCAATGTTTAGGTTTTTTTGGTTTTGTTTTGTTTTGTTTTTTAACATTGCTATACCTCAGGTGGGGAAAAAAAAAACTGTTTTTTACCTGACCTAAAACATCAATCTTTCCCTGGTGCTTTATCTAAAATAAGCACTTAGTAGCTACCTTTGCAAAAAAAAAAAAAAAAAAAAAAAAAAGACGACTCCTTGCTTAGAATTGCAAGACATATAGAGAAAGAAAGAACACCCTCACTCCTGTTTCCATTGTGCATTCTCCTTTACTTTGGACCATCTCCTCACCTCTGCACTTCAGCAGGTGAGGTGGTCGGTCACACACTGCCTTTTTAACCCATCTCACCCTCCTCAAGGATGTCCTCATCGGATTCCAGGAAGATCAAGTTCTCACAGGACAGACTACCTCCCAAGATAAGGCAGTTACCCATGGAGCAAAACAATAGTGTTGAGCAGAAACGATCACCTTGTGGAAATCAGACTGGTCTGACTGCATCGGGTGATGATGTAAGAAGGACCTCTTAGTCTGCCTCTCTGAACCAGAACTGGGGACAGTCATCAAGGAAAGCACACCGTGAGCAGGACTGCTTAACTGTGAAGCCTCGCTGTCCCCCCATTCTATTTGTCCCTTATATATAAACATAAAGACAGACTGAGAATCAATGGCTCATTTATTTGTTACTCGCTAAAATACTCATGTGTTTCATTTTCATCCTAAAAACTCTAGTTGGAATCAGGAGTGATGACAAATGCCTTTGAAGCAGAGGCAAGTGAATCTCCTCAAGGTTGCCTGGTTTATGTAAGTGAGGCCAGCCAGGGGTTCAGAGGGAAACCCTATCTCAAGAACAAATAAATTAATCAATTAATCAAATGAATTTCTAGTCCTATATGTAAACATATTTCATGTACGCATATGTTTCACTAGCACATTAATGTACCCACTGATTACATAGCTTGATAACAATCCACAAATGAGAAATTGATTATTCTTCCAAACAAACTGCTTTACTGGGGCTAAAACAAATCTCTGAAGAAGTTATTATTGATTAAAACTGTTAGAGATTTTGTCTCTAGGGAGATTTTTATTGCCCTTCAGTTGTTTTGTTGGTGGAGGGTGGATGCTGTTTTAGGGATGTGTGTGTGTGCGCGCGCACGTGCGCGCGCGTGCACCCATGCACACCTGTGGGCAAATGTTTGTGTGGGCACCTCTCCCTCCACAGAGTTAGGCTAATAGGCAAGCACTGCTGTACTCATCTTTCTCATATGAACCATAAAGATCAAACCAAAGTACTCACACTTGGTGACAAGCACTCCACCAACCAAGCCATCACCCTAATTCCTGTTCTGTTTTGGTTTTGTTGAAATTTGTCATGAAAGAAATCAACAAATATTCGGAGTTCCTCATTATTTGAATAGGAATGGCATGTGCTACTTTGTGTGGGCTAAGTAGCTGAAATATGGCACCAGCTTTTCTCATTAAGAAACGCAATCTTTCCTCACACCCCTTGATTCTGAGCAGGGCTGTGCCTTTTAGGAACATGGCAAAAGTGGCTATGGATGTGTTCCAAACCTCACAAAGCCTTGAGGCTTCTGCCTTAGGAACTGTATAATCACTACTACCTGACCAAGCTCTGGATAGCCTATGGCCTGTTAAGAACGCCATAGCTCACTGGCCCCCATCACAGGAGCAGACACCCAAGAGAAGTCAGAAGCGGGAGCGAGACCACTGGCCGTCAGAAATCCACAGGCATAACTGTGAAGCCAAGTGAATTCAGACCTTTTGTGGGTAACACACAAGGTTATGTTTAAATAAATGGCTGTGTTTTTAACCTGCTGTGTTTTTGGAATGGCTTCTTTCAAGTTAAATATGGTTCACATGCCTGCCAATACACTTTAAGTGAAACAGGCATAGAAGATCACATTTAGATATAGTATTTTTCCTTTGAGGGCAGAAATGCAGCTGAAGGAGACTATTTAAGTCAAAAAAGATTCTGGGCTGCCATACCTTGCAGAGCGCCTGAAAATAGGATTTCCCGAAAGATCTGCAAATGTATACCTAGTCATTGATGGAAACCCCCTTGGGCTCTAAGTGATAAGGGAACTTGATCAGGAAGCAGAGCTGGACATCTACCCTTGCAGCATCAAGAAACAGCACATCCCACCAGCATTCTAGATTCCAGAGGCCAAATGTCATCAGCCCAGACATTCTGACCTGATGTCCTTACCTACACGCTCTCCACGGTCTCCTTTTGGCCCCACAGCTCCTCTGGGCCCCTCTGCTCCTTTTGGACCTTCTGCTCCTTTGGGCCCAGATCCTGCAGATCCTGCGTTTCCAGGAGGGCCCTGCAAGTCTCTGAGCCCTTGACCTGTTGGAAGATAAACAAAACTTGGGTCGATATCTGTGCTTTTGCTCTTTTTCCAAAGGCTTGATGCTTACTCCCCTGTGGTGAGATAAGTCCCCTGTGATCCATGAGACAGACCGACATGACGTCCACGTTCCAGGACAGGCAAGACAAACATCACACACTTGTGTGTAGAAGTCCAGAATGCTAGAGAACTGGAACTTGATGTATTTTGACTTATAGAATATTGCTGGTGAAAATACAATATGCATAATAAGTTTTACTCTCCTAGTATCTGTAGTCGGCTTCTTCTGGAATGTAGTCACACAGAGAGGCTGGAGAGATGGCTCAGTGGTTACAAGCATGTGCTGCTACTGCAGAGGACCTGAGCTCAGTTCCCAGCCATCATGCTGGATGGCTCACAATTGCCTGTCACTCCAACTCCAGGCAGATACTATGTCTTTAGTCTCCAAGGTAATCTGCCCTCAAATGAGTGCACGGCCATGCACACACACACGCACACACACACACACACACACACACACACACACACACACACACACCATGCATAATTAAAGCTCATTTTTTTAAGAGCAAAGAAAGCAGTTCAATGAATACCTGGATCTCCCTTTTCTCCCTTTATACCATCATGTCCATCTTTACCTGGTAAACCATTGAGGCCTGGAGAACTGCAGGTACTTTGAGCACCTTCAGTTACAGGCTCTGTAATAAGATGCTGTCACCACATCCAGGAGAAGGAAAGACAGAAACGGAAGCATGGTCCTCACCTTGGTGTGGGGAAAATCATGAAAAATTATCTCATCCTTGGCATGTATATACCAATCTGATATCTGCCCTGTAACTTGGGGACAGACACTGTACAGATGGATTACTCACTGCTAGTGTCCAGATTGGGTATTTGGAAAAGCAAGCACCCTTTACGATGTTGCACAGTTAGTATTTTAACAAAAATAGGCATAACATCGTAAGATGATGTGAAGGCCCGTCTGAGGGAGGTCACCAGGGCCCAGGTCTCTGGTGTCACTCAGGCAGGTTGTGAATGTGCTTCTCATGGCAGTGGAAGCAGAACAGCTTCACATTGCCAGCAAACTAATGCCTGATGCCTTAGCGGATGGGGACGAATGGAGACACCATGTTCTGAAGGCTCTCATACTCACACCTACCTACCCTTGGACGCCGTCTGCAGCCCAAATCCTATTTTTACACTGGAACGTCCCTCCAAGACCGGTTAGTTATCCTTTCCCTAGTTTCCAACAATAAACTATAGGCTTACAATTAAAAGAGACAGGGCCAGACCCTGATCCCACAGTAAGTCTACCAGTCCTTCCTAGAATGCACTTGGGTGCACTTCTTGGTAGTTCATTTCCATAGAGCAAGACAGGGTTGCTGGAGAAAACATTTTCTCTGTAAATCTCTCTCTACTAGATTTCCCCTCTACTTCCTAGACTGCACATGTCCAAACTGCTGACAGTTAGATAAACCTGCCTAGAATCTCTCTCAGCATCACATCTGTCCTTCAAGACTAGGAAACCATAACACCCAGTCCTATAGGTCTTAGATGCCATAGTACCCTCTTTGTAATGTCTTCTTTGCAAACATAATTGAGAAAACTCATGTCCCAGCAAGCAGAGGATGTGCTACCACTTATGTGACTTCTGCCTGACCTGCCTCTTACCTCAGACCTCCGAAATGAATCAGACCCTTAGGCTATGAATATAGGAACCCAAATGCACTCACCAGAAATGACTTGCAGGGCTTTGGAAGCTTCCACCCAACCTGGAACTCAGACAGTTGCCTCGAAGAAAGAGAGGAGCTAAACCTGATTTTTAAAAGGGGGTATAATCCAAGCTGACCTGCAACCCCAGATTAATAAGCAACTCTCTTTAGGACTATATTAGATGCTTTTTAGGAGGATTTCCCTGGAGGCCTCCATGGCTATTTACCTTAATACAGCACTATCTCCTCTTCAACTGACATCCATTTTGCTAATTCTCATGACTGAGTTACCATGAGTAGGTTCAAGTGGTTAGCCATACCAACTTCCTCGCTTCCAATACAGAAACATACACACGCCCAAGCATACATACACGCTGTGCACACCCACTATAGACACATGTACATGCATACACTATAAAGGACAGTGGGTCTTTTGCTGCTGTCAATACATGAAGAACACTTCTAGACTCCAAACTATTGTCATCTACCTGGAATATCCTCACTCTTTAGTGCTCTTCTCTCTTTACTGCTCTTTCTCTTCTATTCTAAGATTCTTGTCTAGGAGAAGCTTCCTGTGATCTTATCTAAACTAGTTCTACCCAGTTTTCTTACCTTGGGCTGTGTTTGTTTGTACTGATTACAATGCATTGTTTTATACTCATTTATTGTGGTAAAAATGTATGTAACATACTATTTTGACCATTGTTATATGTGTAAGTCAGTAAGAACATTTGTGTTATTATGAGATTGCCAGAACCCATCTCCAACAACATTTCATCATCCCAAACTGAAATTAAACATTAAGTAATAACTTCTCAACTCTCCCTTTCTTACCACCACTGATAACTGCCATTCTATTTCTGTCTCTAAGAAGTTAAGTGTTTTATATGGAACACATGGTTGGAATCATACAATAACTATCCTGTGGTGTTAGAGAGAGAAGACAACGAATATCTCATGGGTTAACAGTCTTGTTTTGTTGGTCGATTGGGACAGTAGAGTAGAAATGGAACAATACATTTAAGAAGAAGTACAATTCAGTAAGTTCTGAGCTACATTTATTTGTGTATGCTTGTGTGTGTGTGAGCATGTATGTGAGCCTGTATGAGTGCATGTATGGTACACATAGAGAAGTCAGAGGACACAGGACAGTTTGTAGGAGTCTTCTTCCCCCATATGGGCTCTGGGACTCAAACTCAGATAGTCATGTTTGGTTGTAAGTACCTTTACCTACTGATCCTTCCACTGACACCTGAGCTACATTTCTAACATAGCTGTTTTTCTGTGCCAGTCTGCTTTTTCACTACTCTAATAAAATGCCTGAGGTGATTAACTTATAGAGAGGGAAAATTCATCTTGGCTTTATGGTCGGTTGTTCTCTTGCTTCTGTGACTAATAAGGCAGTGTCTCGTGGTGGGGACCTTAAAGCAGAAAGCAGCTTATCGATCTTAAAGCCAGAAATGAGAAGAAGAGGGAGAAGACCAGCTAACAAGCTTCCCACAATCTATTTAGAAGTATTCTTCCAGTTACTTAAAACTGCTTACCAATCTCCATCTCTTAATGGTTTCCTCACCTGACAGTAGTGCCCCAGGCCGGATACTCAGTCTTTACTACAAGGATGGTTAGGGAAGTTCTAGGTCTAAACATGGCAGCTGCCATGGAAAAGCCAGGTTAGCTTGGAGTATTGAGGGAACCCACTGCAAGAGTTTCACACAAAGACCGGGGACAGTGTGGTGGTGGCCACCAAACACCAGAATAAATATGGTTGAGATGCCCTCAGAACTGTGCTTACAAAGGACCTAGTTTCCTTAATTCCTGCTGATGTATCCCTGGAGAGTGAAACTTTTAAATTGAATTATTTGGTGTTTTGGTGATTAGTTTCTTGAGTACTTTGTATATTTTGGAGATCAACCCTCTGTCAGATGTGGGGAATGCTTGTGGTTCAGCTGTGAGAAACAGCAGAGAGAAGCGGCCTTCTTGTCTCTGGTGTCCTATACACCCTGCATTCTTCTAAGTGTCTATCTATACTGTTTTCCTCGTGTGCTTTTTGCTAATGAATGCTGTGACGTTAAAGATGCTGGCAGGGACCAAGTGCGCACAAGAAGGAGACCATGCCTGCTTGTGACATAGATCTGAACACAGAGTGGCTAGTGCAGGAAAGCTTAGAATGTAGAACAACAAAGACATACCCCATTGCCACATCAATGAGATCCTATGCCAACCTTTGAGTCCTCTCAGACATGTATTCCTCTTGTCCTATCCCTGCTTCTCATCAAGAAAAAAAAGAAAGGAAGGAAGGGGGAAGAAAGGGAGGGAGGGATGGATGGGGAGAAAAAAGAAATAGACGTTAAAAAAGATAAAAAAAAAATGATAAGGCATTCTGACACATCAAACTGAACTGCACGAGTTGCATTCAGCACCTCAAATAGTCCCAAGCAAGGAAGAATAGAACAGAGAGATCAGTGAAATGTTCCTGACTCTGGAATGCCAGGGAGATGGCACATAGGCACATTAACCTTTCTTTGCTCAGAGAAATGCTGTGGCCCATTGAGTACTGCCACTGCTAATTAGATCAAGTCTCCTTCTTTATGAGAATTAAACAAAAAAAAAATTCTGGTATTTTGTTGTTGTTGTTGTTCAGTGGGATAGTGATAGTGCTTCAAAGATAACTTAATAACAGATCCCTCAGCAAAACAACAGTAGTTAATGTTAATTGCCAACTTAACAAACTCTGGGCTCACTGGGAAAAGGACCTGCGGGCACTTCTTCTGGCTAGAGAAGAGATGTGAAATATCTCAGGGTATTAACTGCTGCCTTCTCAGAGTGTAGTCTCTCTGAATAAACGGCAATGTAAAGACTCAGTTCCTCTCTCTGTTCACTGAACATTGTGATGGCAAGGATTCCAGCTACAATTATTTGTTTATTATACCCACATGTGTGTCCATGTGTGCGTTCCTGTGGGAGGTGCACATACTCATGGATCACAGGTGGAAGTCAGAAGACAACCTTGGTCAGTCCTCAATCATTTCCTACTTTTGTTTAAGACTAGATCTCTCATTGGCCTGGAAATGCCTCCATAAAGGCCACACTAGCTGGCCAAGGAGCTTCCAGGGACCTGCCTGTTCATCTTGCATCTAGACATCTTCTGGAGTACAGCCTCATGTCTTCTTTTTCTGGAGGGAAATGGGCAGGGGGTCTGAGCATCTTAGCTTCTCGCGCTTGTGAGAAAAGCATTTACAAGCTAAGTCATCTCTTCAGCCCCATGCAGGGTTATAAATCCAATCTGTTATGAGCTGAAAATCGTGACATAGATGAGAGCCTTTACATTAGTCTCCATTGTCTGTCTGTAAAATGGGCTTAAGGGGAGCACTCACGCAGCAGAGGTGTTTCAAGAGGGCTGATCATCGCCCCTACTCTCAAGGGAAGCAAGCCCTTGTCAGTCTCAAAAGGAGATGGCTCCCTGGGATGGAAGGCGGCAGTCACACAGAAGAGCCTAAATGGGACTAATGGAGAAAAACTTGTCCATGTTGTTTTCTCAGTGTAAGGATCTATAGAACAGTAGACAGGAAAGATTTTATCTTCACAGGCAGCTCCATATTGGCTCTGGGAGCCACCCTGAGGGTTGAATGCACTTGCCTTAAGAGTCACCTGAGAAAAAGCATTTAGTTTATGCTCATCACATCCTAACAGAAGCCAGCAGTTTCATTTTACTGAGAGACAATGAACAAACAACGGAGTGTTGAGTTATCCCTGATCTTCATCAGGCTGTCCAGATTCGTGAGTCAGTTTTAAAGCCGGGGAGTCACACATGAAGACACACAACCTGTCACACAGCTATCCACAGCCACTTCTGAGGCAAAGCTGTCACTTTTATGCAAAATGACCAGTGGGCTCAACCTCTTGCTCCTGTGACTTCCCTGCCTTGCTGAACTGTTCCTCCAAACTTGGAAGGAGAATGAAGAAAGCACACCAGTAAATGAGAGTCCAAGAGATTTCTAGAAGGATGAAAACTCCCGGCTACTACTCCAGCATCATGTCTGTC